TCTCTGCCCACACATCCCTTGGAAAATCTTCATGTACAGCCAGGTGTTCATATACTCCAGTTTGACGAATGTTGCTTTGAAATGTATTGAGTTTGAAAGCTCAGCTACATCCCTAACTAGAAATTTTTGGCAGGCAGTTGGAAATGCACTTCTGGAATAAGGTAATTGAATTTCTTAGGCTCTTATAGGAGTGTCAACACCAGGCTTATCTACTCATGTTGTTGCCACACTTGTGAAAAAAAAAATCACTGGGATGACTTTGTTAGGAAAAACTTAAAAAAGGCCCCGCTACAGTTGCTTCCTTTTGTGTTTGCTACTACCTTGATATGCTGTTGCCTTGGCTCATAGAGGTTGTCAGGGCATGTTTGATGATTTCATTGAATGCTTTCAGTTTTTTGTCTGAAGTTTACATTATACCTTTTCTTACTGTAACTTGCATTATTAATCTGATAAAGGTAATAGTTGACATTATGCATGGTAGATGATTTAAATGATAAACAAAATAGGAAAAATACTTTTACTGCATTCCTTCTCACTAAAGATAATCACTAAGTATCTTATATATCTTTTCAAATACATTCTATAAAGTTTTATGTATACATATTACACAAATAGGTTCGCATTATGTAAACTATTTTTTTTCACCTAATATATAGGAAAGATTGTCTTTTTTAAAAAGAGCAACATTGTATCCCAAACTATAGATACACTATTATTTTGTAAATAGTCCTCTGTGAATATGGAACATTTAAATTAAGACTTTTTCTATTATAATCAGCAAATGTTCTTATAAATATATGTTTGCATCCTGTGTCAACATTATCTATAGGATAAATTCTAAATAATGAAATTACTAGTCAGAGAGAATATGCATTATGCATTTTATTAAATTATTGCTAATTTTTTCTCTCATAAGCAGCTAGTAAATAAAACTGCTTGTTTCCCCCACACCCTTATAATACTTGGTATTATCAAATTTAAATTTATGTCCACCTATTTTGTGAAAATTGGCACCTCATTGTTTGGATTTTATTTTGTGAAGTTGAATATCCTTTTATATGTTTTCCCAAAGTGTTCCCTTTTTATTGAAAAATTTACTCCTACTAATATTACAAAGTGAAGTATTATAGCTCTTTACAAAAATAGAAAATGACTATAAGCTAAAGATCCAAAATGTTCCCTTTAATTTTGCTTGTTTCATACCTTCTCACTCCCACTCATGCATATCACTCATTCACACATTAAAAATCCTTACTAAATATGTATTATTTATAAAACACTGATGGCAGTCTCTTTAAAAGTCAGATTTTGTTAGATGGGTCTGCATTTATGGAGCCTGTCTACTAAGGAATTAAATCCAAATCTTAGTATTTGACCAATGTTTCTCCATGAGTGGTTTTTCTAATTTTTCAAATTAAAATTGTCTCAACTATCTGTTGGTAAAATAAATTTGAATGTATTAATTAAAAGTCTGAGTGTCTACTTGTGACAGCCTCAGATTACCATATTGTTACTGCAGCCAACAAAAGGAGATCAGAGTGTAGTGTTTTAATGGTTAGGTGCCATATAAGCCCAGTGACTTCCCCAACAATTTTTCCCTATTTTTTTTGTTTGTTTGGTTAATTTATAATTTCTGTTAAACTAGAGAACTCACGACACATGGCTGTTGGCCATTAATTTTTTGGTTAGTCCAAGTATCTGGTGTGATTCCTCTTCCAGCCTCTAGCAAGCAAGAAGTTGGTGGTGTATTAAAGCATTTTAGGCAACAAGGACAGTGGAGACTCAGTACTGCAGAGTCCAGATCCAGACTGATATCACAAGTGAATAAAGGAGGCAGAGAGTTAAAATTTCCAAATAGTAAAGTGTTTTTGTGGTGATCATACTCCTATTTTTTGCTCTTTTCCCACAATCTCTTTGAAATGAGAAATAGGGCAATTTCCCTGAGGTCAAAGGCATTATAGTTTACTATGTAGAGTGTCAAACACCTAACTCTGGGGCACTGTATGTGTATATATGATCCAGGCATATGAAAGACTACTAGAGATGCAGACTCCAGATGATATAGGCAACCCTTACTTGGCATGATATTGCTGGAGAGTAAAAATGATAGTGCAGGCTGAAACTGTGCAATATGATCTTAATAGTGGGAAAATCTATATTAAAAACTATTGGTTGTAAATATATAGGAAAATAAAACAAAAGTAAATAGTATACCATAATCTAGAATATCAGAAACCTTATGAATTAAATTCTATTTTTTTAAAAAAATGTATCAAGATTAGTGTAAATAATGGTTGCTTTATTCTTGTCATATAGCTTACCATATAGAGGAAGCATCTGTTTTATGCCTTGGCAGATTTTCATACTACTTTATAGGTTTGGATCAGCTTCCAATATTTTATTCTTTCCACTTCCAATGTCATGAAGTATTTGTGAAAGTTCTTTAAACATAAAAGGGTGTGTTTGTGGGCATCACTTCCTCTGGAGCATCTTCATTTTTTCTGGAAGAAATACTTTTTTCAATTATATTGACAAGTCTGCCTCTACTAAGCTCCTGTGGCTGCATATCTAGACTTTGTAATAGCAGCATTGTTAACATTCCCACAGCCAGCCATTTCTTCTGGTATTCTCTTTACCTTTGATTCACATTTCACTGCTAGCATTATCATTTTTATTTCTTTGCTGAACTTTCATCTTTGTTGACCAATTCTCTGGGAGTCAAAGAGGCAACACACTGCATACCTAGCTAGTTATCTCTGTGAGAACTGAGCAACAGATGCCCAGTGTCTCCAGTGACCAGCAAACTGAAAGAATTAACATGATTGGTCGTTGATCATACATATCTGTTTGATTTGTGAACTGAAAGACTAGCAATGACGTTTGAACTTTATGCAGTGATAGTTAATATACCATGGTGACTGAAATTTGAATTCTGCTATTGGGGAATTTATGCTTATTTAACTAAATCAAGATAACTGAAATTTATGCACATCAAGACTTTGCAAAGCAAGGACTATCTAAATAAATAGGCATTTACATTGAACTGATTGCATAGGAGTTCTGTAGGAGGTATAATTTTGTTGGGCATGATAATTGCAGGTTTAACTCATTACTAAAGCTTCTTAGAGGAAACTTACAGAACATAAGCATAACTTTGCTTTTTATGTCAGGATAAGTTAGACTGTACAGTGGCAACAAATGCCCCCTCCCCCAAATCTCAGTGTTCCTAGTACCTTCCATTGTAAATTGGCTACGAGGAGGAGTGGGGCTCTGTTTCACTTTATCCTTATTCAGGAACCCAGGCTACAGGAGGCACCGTCTCTTCGATTTTGTAATTACCAAAGTAGGAATTGGGAACACAATGAATTGGACACTATCTCTTAAAGTTTCTATCTAGAAGTGATATATAGCATTTCCAATCATATTTCACTGGCTAAAGTAAGTCACATGGTCATGTCCCAAAGCGGCAGAGAAGTGAAATTCTATCATTTGCCTAGAAGGAAGAAATGTTGGATGAGTAGCATTAGTGATGACTGTAGTATCTAAGAGTTTACCTGGGAAAAGCATATCAGGGCACGCAAGGCCACTGAGGACTGAGATTGCAGGCATAGATATGTCAGATTATCTCTCTGCTAGTAAAAGATAATCAAGTTGAGGGAAAACTGTGTGTGTCTGCATTCTAGAAGCCTGGATACTGGGAGTTTATGACATTAGATTTAGAAGTTATGGTGAAGCTAAGAAGTGGGTCAAGCTGTGCTCATTCAGATGAGAGCTCTGAGACTGTCTGCTATTCTAGATGACTTCAACCCTCTTCTGGTTGCTGTCTCTGAGCCTCCATCTGTGCTTTACTTGAGTTTAAGTTGAATGTATCTTTGGCAGTTCTGAGGTCTGTGACACAGATGATTCTTAATTTGAGCCTTGAAGGGAATGTAGGCTGTGGCTTGGCAGAAGGGAATGGCAAAGGCATTCTGAAGTAAGGGCACAGAGGATGAATGAGTGCAGTCAGTTTAAGGGAGACTCAGATGCTATGAAAGTGTCAAGAATATTGACCATCTTAAAATAGGGTAAGATAGAAGAACCAAAGGGAATTAATCACATCATGATTCTCATTTGTTATTACCATCCCATACCTAATGTGTGTCTGTCTTTAACTATCCAACATATTTAACTCTATAAACCCTCAAAGGTGTATTAGGGTAGCTGTACTTATAGTACCTTGTCTCATAGATTTCTGCATCATTTATGCTTAACACCAATCTACCTACATACAAGATTAATTTAGAATTACTTCATTGATGTGCCTAAACTTAAACTTTTCATTTTAATCTAAACATGATCCAAATTTCTTGCCTAATTTTCTCTAATAGGCTGAGATGTGAACAAAAATATTTAAGACATATTTAGTCATGTAGGACTAGTCACAAGGTTAATACAAAATGAGTAAATTTGGTCTGATATAGTCATATCTGGGATAAGAACAGTATACTGGCTTGATTATAATCAGATGACCACATTACAAGGGCTTTGAAATCAAATACTGACGTTCTTAAACATGTTGTTTAATCAACTGAATTTAAATGTTTTCATCTAGACTTACCGTTAACATTAGACCCACTAGCCTTTGGACAACTTCCTCTATTCCAGCCTCCCTATCAGTTTCTAAGAAAAATACCATAAGAGGTCTTTGGCTTCCAGGGTCATGAAGTATTTGCCAGAGTATCACTCAATGCGGTGTCCTTTAAGAAAGCATACTATATAGTTCTTTCAAGACTGACTATTCCCCCTCTGAACTTTGACATTGTGTAAGTGATGTTGTGCAAGAGGTGTGACCCATGTCAGGATGGGGAATGTGCTCCAGTGGGCATCAGTTTTGCATTATTTGGCACTGTAATTTTTCCATATGGCTATCACTGAATTTTGAAGACTATATTGCTAAAAGAGTAAGAGTCTTTTCAATTATCTAAGCCATTTATAACACCAAAATCTATTGTTAACATTAGGGCAATACACTTTCTTCAGTGAGACCAACAAATGTATTAGAAATGATGAAAGAATGGAAAAATAACCCAGAAAGTGACGAGGAAAACAAGAAAGAGGAGAAGAATAATCAGTTCCGTCAAGAAAAGTTGGAATATCACCAGCAACGCAGAAATGTCCCTGCTGTCAATGACACTTCAGGTGAAAAGGAGGAAAACCCAGCAAAACAAGTAGGAAAAACAATTGTTTCACTTATCCAAACCCTAAAATACCCTTCACGACATTGGGAACATTTTTTGCAGCTCTTTTTGTTGTTAATTTGTAACAAAAGACCTGCATCATAGAAGCAAATAAAGTTCTTTTTGCCTCATAGGTTGTCATAGTTTAGAAACATGGCCTGAATGTTTAAAATCAGTTATCATGGAGAGCAGGGGTGTGAAAACTTTTTTTGTAAGGGCACAAATACAGGTTGAACATCACTATGGGATACTTAATCTGTAAAGCTTGTGGGCTATAATAGCCTTTGTTATAACTGCTCACCTCTGATGGCATAGTATGAAAACTGCCATAGACAACAAATGAGCATGACCATGTTCCGAGTAAACTTTAAAAAATATATATAAACAGATGGCATGCCAGATTTGGCTCATGGGTCCAAATGAATCAGTTCTGTACTTTACCAGGCTTTAGAATTTGGAATTGCTTACCTAGAAAAAGATAATTATTACATTGCCTAATTATTTCTAATTTTATGACAATCAAAACTCTTTATATAGGTTTACTATTTTACTTTATTAGACCTGAGTATAGTTCTATTTTTTTGATAAATATAATTTTGTTAACATTTTTATTAGCATTAATCCTAGATTATGGTCTATTAACTGGATATCCTGGTAAAGTTTGCCCAAATTACCACACCTCCATTTTTTCTGTTTGTAGAAATTAATTTGGTAGTTTTTCTCCTTGGGTCCTGAAATTTAATGAATATATTTTAGCTTTTATTTAAAATAAGTGTCCTGCCAGTAGGTTGTGTTCTCCTCAAGACATCCCAGACTGCTTTGAAGAGTGGCTCCTTGTCAATTGCCTGCAGCCTGGAGACAGGCAGTGTGAAGAGATACTGACAGGGCGAACCCTGAAGCAGGCCCAGCAAAGTGTAGCGCATGCTACAAACCTTGTCTGAAATTTGCAGAAGGGGACCTGGTAGTCTATTGGCTGATTTTGACTTACTGTTTGGGAGTTTTTTCATCACTAGATAGTAAATGTCTAGATAATAAGCTTAACATGATTTATATATTTTAAAATAATTGTACTTTTACCATAACACAAGTGTAAGCTTCTTGAATTCCCTTCTTATTGTCTAGTCTGGTAACAACTTCTGTATTACTTAGTTGTGTGTAATTTATATTTTCTTTAAAAACAGTATCCTAAAACTCCATGTTCGCATTTTATTTCCCTGTACCAGGCAGGGATCGAACTCAGGACCTTGCATTTGCCAGGCAGGCACGGCACCATTGAGCTAAATCCCCAGCCCTATGTTTGCGTTTCTTGTTGAACATAGTTGGCAGATTTTTGTTACCGACTTGGCAACATACATCTACATAAGCACATGAATATACACATATACATCCACATATACATTAAACACACTGCACTCATTTTACACAAGCATCTACACAGATATATGTATGTACAAACACACAAAAATGCTTGGGTATACACATTCTTTTTTGTAGTCCTGGATTATATCTATGTTTGTCATGGAATCTGACATAAAATACCCCTGTGAACCAAAGGTCTTCCATTGCTGTTATCCCTTCCCCATCTTCCCAGACTTCCTGCAAATTACAAAGTAATGTGACTTACACTGTTCTTAATTACTTCAACTAGGAAACAGAAAAATTAGAATTTGAATTATTTATGGATGCTATAACTATAGCCAGTGGCTTGAAAATGTAAGAATATAAAAATTTTAAGAATATAGGTTGAAAACTTTAGAATACAGATCTTAAGAATATATTTTTTTACCCACAGGAAGGATTTTGTCTATAATCAGGGCTTACTAGCAATGGAAAAGGCTGGGCTAAGGGTACCAAACCCCTACTGCCAGTCACTGAAAGTATTCAAGGAGGCTTTGGAAAGCTGCTTGTTGCAAATGCTAAAGTGGGAATTCCTGCAAGATGAGTAGGAATTTGCGTTCATTGTTCTCTAAAGAATTTTGCCTTGCTTAGATTTGGGCCATGGTATCTTGGGGGAATATTTTGAATTGTTGGGGAATTTTTCTGAAAAGTGTTGACCCTTTAAAAAAAACATTTCCCATGTGTCTAAACACATGGATTCTAATAATTTTTAATATATTATTTTAATAATTGTATTGGATTAAGTTTATGTTAAATTAGTTCTGGTGTTTTAGTCTTCATTAACAATAAACTGTGGAATATAAAATTTCTGAAATGAATGCAATAGTATCACTAAGGTGGCTGAATAGATGGTCCCAGCCACCCCCTCCCCAATACACATAGATCAGCTAGCACCTATCCATCAAAAATAATACCTTGATTAAATCCTCAAAACATGGGAATAAGACCTGTGTGCTCCACAGAACTGAATAAAGATTTGCATTGATAGGGTAAGAAAAACAGTCTTGCTTTGGACTACATCACCCCTCTTCCTCTTCCAAGGGGACAAAGTATCACATAGAGAGAAATCTCAAGGCCCACAGCTTCTACAGAGGAAAAGAGAACACTGGAAGCAGTTACCTGGCTTCTCTAGCCTTCTGAAATGTTCTTGAGGAGCCCATTCTCTTCTCAACTTATGAGGAATTTAGGGAAAACTGCACAGCTAAACTACCCAGGGCCAGATAGAAACAAAGAAAGAGGTAGAGACCACAGAGACCAGCACATCATGTTTAGTGAAAACACAGCACACCTGCCAGCAGTGGCCCTTGATGAGCTACTAGCTACAAATATAACCCATTGGCAAAGCTGATCTGAAAGAAGTGTGACCACCTCTCTCCTAGCTCTTGGGTTCTGGTTTTGGGGCAAAAAAGATTGAAGCCAACAAAACAGCAAGCAGCAAGGGGTGGGGAATGACCAAACATGTTTATTAGAAAAAGGTCCTTGCTTGTTGGGGAGGGGTTTCCATAGTGGAAAACTATAGATGTTTAAGTACATTGGCCTTTTATACAGTTTTAGAGATCAGTTAATGTGACACAAAGCAGGGATGCTCTGGGTAGACCTTTGATGTCCACTAGTCAGTTTGCTTAAGTTAATTATTCTGGCCCTCTGGTATGTTAACTCACTTAGGCCTTGACTTTTAGTTTACTTTAAGTTAACTATTCAGGACCTGTGTCCTATCTGCTTAACTTTTCCTGTCTCCTTGCTTCAGAAGCACTTCCCAGAAGAGGTAGGTACTTAGTGTGAATCTCTAGATGATCTCTTCCCAAGTATAACCTTACTCTGTAAACTGAGACTGCCCAGGGAAGGAGAACATCCCCACAGCAAATCCTGAAAACTAACATGCCACCCTTGGAGTTTAAATAGTGTTTCTTGTTGCCACAAAGAACACTTCCAGACCCTGCCTAGAGCGGAATTAGACCAGCAAATAATGAGGCACAGTTTTGCCACACCTGGAAGTTTAGGGCTTTCTGCAAAGACACCTGTAGAACTGCCCAGGGAGGGATACTACCAAAACTGTGAATTACAACCACTAATAGGCACTGGCTCTGCTATACCTGGGAGTTTAGACAGTGTTCCTCCTGGCCTCAGAGACCACTTATAGAACCCACCCAGGGAGGAACAAGACCAACACCACGCTAAGAAGCACATCTTGTGGCCCAAGTGGATTAGTGGCAATTGCAGTGCCTACCTGGGAGCTCAGCCTAACAGCAGAGCACAACTAGTGGTCTTGCCAGATAGAGGAACAAAACCAGTTGCCACACCTCAATGGAGAAAAAAGGCAAGCAGCCTAGCTTCCTAGAGACCCTGAAAGCAAGCTTTGGTGGCCTAAGGACTTTACCAATTATGAGATATGCTTAGTAAGCCCCATAGTAACCACACAAAAAAATCGATAATAGGTATATTAGGAAGACAGTAAAAGTGGAAGAAATGTACAAAGGTCTACCAAAAAGGACAAATGAAGCAATAAAATGGCAGTAATAAGTTCCTTCCTTTCAATAATTACCTTAAATATAAATGGATTAAGATCTCCAATTAAAAGGTCGATGGCAGAATGGATAAAAATCAAGACTTTGACTGTGAGAGGCTCTCTTCACCAGTAAGGACACACACAGACTACAAGTAAATGGATGAAGAAAGATCTTCTATGCAAATGGAACTAAAACAGAGAAGGTGTAGCTATATTTCTAGCAGATAAAGTAGACTTCAAGTTAAAAACTATAAAAAGAGACCCAGAAAGGAGCTGCACAGGTGCACAAACTTCAGCCAGAGGCCCGCCATTCCAACCATAAGTGCACACAGATCCCAGGGAGCAGCTCTGCATACCAGCCAGGGCTGCACCCCGACCCCAGAGGCTCAGGCACACCTGCCCAAGCCAAAGGCCCATCCAGAAAAGAGCTGCACAGGTGCACAGGGTTCAGCCAGAGACCCTCCATACCATCAGCCACCGCCAAGGGCCTGCCTGGAAAAGAGCTACACAGGCATGCAAGCAACAGCCAGAGGCTTGTCCCGATACCATTGATAAGTGTGTGGAGACCCTAGCCAGAAGCCTGCACAGACAACATGAACTGGGGTATACAGCTCCCAGCCAAGGCCCTCCCAGATAATAGCTACATAGGGGCCCCAGTGAGAGGTACACCTAGATAACATCCCAAGTGTGCACAGGCCTCACCCAAAAGCGCCCCCAGACAACAGGTTAGCTCAGGGATCCAGAAGGCCACCACTCTGAACCCAGGAATTGGTGTACTGGGGAGCAGCAGAGTAAAGGCTGCTCAGTGGCTTGCTGAGAATTGAAGACCACTGGGTGAGCAAAAGGTTACCTCAACAAAGGCACAGGGTGAGCCAGGGATTTAGCTCAGTGGTTTTGCCGCCTGCTGTGCATGCGCAAGGACCCGAGTTTGATCCCCGGTATCAAACAAACAAACAAAAGTAACAGGGTGCATCTGTTGAAATGAGAAGACACATAAATAAGTCTCAAAACCAGACTTCCAGATCACCTAAGACAACTGTAAAGGGCAACAAGATGGAACAATCTGGTACTCAACCACCTGGAATAT